CACCATTACAGTTGCAAACAGAACAGCTTTACCTTCCCCAAAGTCCCCTATGTCGACGAGTGCTGCTCTGAGCTGGAGCCCTGGTGAGGGGCCAGCTGTGCAAGTCCACGCTGACCACGCATGGACATGCTCCCCCAGAAAGCTGGTTGCCTGTGCCCCGGGAGAAAGGAAGGAGTCAGCATTACTGCATTGCATCTCGGTGACTTGGCCTGGACACCTCCTCTTCAGAGTTAATTCTGACCGATGCCCCTCCCTCCTCCCCCTCTGTACAACGTTTTCCACAAAGTGTCCCTGTGGGCAGCCTGGACTGTGCTTGCGGCAGGCATTGAACGTGCCCCACCATCAGGGCTTCTGACCTGGCCCTTGGCCGCCTCTGGTCATCTCTGGGCAGCCACCCACACTTCATGCCCTGGACCCTCAGAATCTCTTTGTTTGGTCCTCTGCTTCCCCTCTAAGCCCTCGGGCCTGGGGCCTGCTTTTCCTCCTAAAACCACCCCTTGCTGACCCAGACCTAATGTCCAAGGAGCCTCCACACGTTCAGAAATGTGTGCTGGGGGAAGTAGAGGCAAGCTGGGAAAATGTCCCCGGGGTCCAGGAGCCAGCACATGCTCTCCCCCATCCCACAGGCGCTGCGGCCCAAAGTCCCTAACCTCCTGGGCAGTGGAGGCAAACCCTGCGGGCCTGGCTGCTGCTGGGAGCCACATGGAGCCAAAGCACTGCTGTGTGACCAGGAGCCCACAGGACCCCTCAGCCTCCCTAAGTGAATGTCCTCCTGCCCCATGGGTGTCAAGTGGGGCCTCATGAACCCCACGGCTGCCCTCCTTGCCCTTGGGGACACAGTCACCATTCCTTGGTCACTGTGGCCGTCAGCTTTCTAGAAACTGACTCTAGAGTAGTCATCACCATGAATGCATCCCTGGGCCGTCTGCCCACCTTAGCGTTTCCTGCTCCTTCCCATGTGGGTGCAGCAGTTTCTAAGGGGCCATTGTTGCCGCTGACTGAGATTTATTTCTAGCAGTTGTACGTGTTTTATTCAACACCGACCCCTGGCCCCTTGTCCATCACAGACACATGTGCTTGTGTGTGTCTGTGTGCCCACAGGACGCACCCCCACACGCGTACAGACACACCGTCCTTGGACTTGCCTTCCCCTTTCCCTAACTCTGCCTGAGGTGTGGGTGTTTGACAGCACCCAGCCACCAGACCCAGCCCAGCATGTGGTCGGCCCCCGGAAGGCAGTGGTGGCAGGTGAACCATTGCTGAGTGCTGTCCTCTTAGTGCAGAGCAAGCCGCTGCCCTCAGCTTGCAGCAGCTGACGAGCAACTTGATGTTCTTGAGCAGCCAGGTAGGTGTGTGCGGAGGGGCTGGACTAGCGGGGGGCAGGGACACGTTACACTGAAGACGGCAGAGATGCAAGGGTAAGGCTTCAAAGCGGCAACCCCCGTAAGCCCCCGTTACCACCTGACATTCAGTTCACTATCCTTGAGGTGTGGGTTCATAGGGTGTCTCCTGGACAGACGTCCTCGACCACCAGGGAACCAGAGGGAAAGTCAGGCTGTGCATACAGAGGATGCACACACGCACGCTATAACACTGGTGAACCTTAACACTATGCCCAGTGAGGGACCACACACTATATGGTTTCACTGATGTGAAATGTCCAGAAAAGGCGTATCTGTAGAGAGCCAGAAGTAGGTTAGTGGTTGCCTAGAGCTGTAAATGTGCATTAGGGCTCTTGCTGGGGAGATGGAGATGTTCTAAAACCGGATCGTGATGATGTTTGCACAACGTGGTAAATTTGCTAAAAATTACTGAAGCGTACGCTTAAAATGCTTGAATTTTATGGTGTGTTATTTATACCTCAATAAAGTTGTTTTAAAAAATTCAGTGCGTGCATAAAATTCCCCAGTAGCTACAAAGTGAGACTCCCCGCCTATAAGACACGGAAGAAAATACTCTGGGATTCAGGGAAGTGTGGGCAAGGGCAGTCTGCTGTCTGGTGGGCACTTGACATTAGAGGTGTCTTCTGGCTTTCCACCTGCCTTTCCTCCTAGAAGAGGAGTATTTGGGGAACAGAAATAGGAGCATGAGAAGGGTGGATCTTCAGGAAACTCACCTGAGCAATTACTGGGACAGAGCAAGGGGGAGGGGGTCAAGGGTGGGGAAGAGAGAGGCGGAGATGGAGGCGCCGGAGAGAGGGAAGGGAGATGTGCTTTCTAAGGGAGGTGGGCGAAGATTTTCGTCCTTTTGGGGTTTGTTTGTTTTTTTTTTTTTGGTGAATCATATACACCATCCCACCAACAAAAATTTCTGATAAAGATCATCCAAAGCAAGACTAAATATAAGAATACCTAAAAAGACATTTATATTGGGATGTGTTGGCAGAGCCCCCTTTCAGGGCTGCTGATGCCCGTGGAGCATGAGGAAGGCTAGGATGTGTGCGCTCAAGGAAATGTGCCCGGTGAGCAAAGCCAGCCCAGGAGGGAATCTCCCGAGGGCAGCGCGAGAGGCGGACCCGTGACTGTGCCTCGGCTCGAATTTAAGGCCGAAGAGCGTGCCCAGGCATTTCTACTTTCCTTCCTTTGAAATGCAACTGTAGCCCTAGTAACAGATGCACATGTTTTAACTTCTCTAAGTAGGAATTTCCAACTGAATCAAAATAACCGTATAATAGGGCCGACTCCCATCCTGTGTTCAGACAACAGGCAGCACCTGTGACAAAGGAGGACCCTCCCACCCTCCCCCCTTCAGATCGGCATGGATTTCAGTCCCGCAGGCACTCGGGAGCGGGCAGCCTTCTGGTCAGGTACGGAAACTCTGACTCTGTCTCTCCTCCCTAAAATGGGGTAATTCCTGCAACTGCCAGATGAGTTGTGAGGATAGAGAGGCTGTCTGGCAGAGTCTTGGTGCACGGACGCATCCAGCTCTGACTGAGTGGTCAGAGCCTCACCAAGAGCCCACATGTGGGGGGTGCAGCTTTTGCCTAGAGAGCAGCTCCTTCTCTGGCTCCGAATTGGAGCAGCATCGCCCCGTCTTGGCAATGGGCGCAAATGGAAGCGTTCAGCTTCTCCTCGTGAGTCTGATCATACATGTGTATTTATATTTTGTGTTTGTTGACATTAGGAATCAGAATAAATATAAGATAGAAACTGATATCAGGTGCAAGCCAATAGAGACCTCTTCTTTTTTTGTTTTACTTTCACTTCCTTTTATGACTTTATCCTGTTGGTGTAGTGAGCTCTGTTCACATCGGTTTTGGCCTCACTCTGGAATCTGGAATTGAACGTGTGTTTCCAGGGACTTTGCAGGGAGCTCGATGAGGAGCTGTACCCCAGCAAGATAACTTCTTGGGCTATTGGCATCGCCCTAATGTGTGGAAAGAAAATCCTTCTTGAAGGTGCAAACAATTACTTAAGCACAGGATACAAATGCAGGGGTATTACTACCTGCTGCTTTGTGAGCACCGATGCAATCGATTGCTGACTGTGATCTGGCACCTGCTGAGCCAGCTCTGAAGACAGGATCACCAACCACTGCCTAATAGCATTTCACACGAAAGACTGCTGAAGGCTTTATTTTTTTTTTTTTCCAACTAAATCACCATTTGAAGCTAAATATGAGGCTTTAAATAGATACTTGAAAACTTTATTCTCTGGGGTAACTAACTTCACAATGGTGGGTTCTCCTTTTTTTTCCCCCCAATTGATCAGATTCTTTTTTTTTAAAAGATGATACTCACTTTTAAATGATATTCTCTTGACACACAATGGTTTCAGCCACATAATCCAGCGACATTTATGTTGTAGCTTCTAGGAAAAGCCCAACACGCACTCTTCCAGGCAGCAAGGTGTGAGAGAGTTTTTGAAGCCACCGCTATTTGTACGGAGAATTTTATTTTATTTGTTTATTTTTAAAGATTTTATTTATTTGACAGAGAGAGACACAGCGAGAGAGGGAACACAAGCAGGGGGAGTGGGAGAGGGAGAAGCAGACTCCCCGCTGAGCAGGGAGCCCGATGTGGGGCTCGACCCCAGGACCCTGGGATCATGACCTGAGCCGAAGGCAGACGCTTAATGACTGAGCCCCCCAGGCGCCCCGTATGGAGAATTTTAAATGCCCATCACACATGTCAAGGACCTCTGTCCTCAGCCTGCACTGAGGAAGAGTGAGCGTTTGTATTCCAGGGACCTGATCCCTTCCTTCATAGGGCGAAGGGGTTCAGAACGTGCCTCCCCAAAATATGACACTGGCATATTTTAAGCTGAAGGCAATTGAAAAATAGCAGACACGGGATGAACGAGGCTGGCTAATCCCCAAGCCTTCTCCTCATCAGCACTGGGGCTTGGACTAAGACCCTCCACTCTGGCGACGCTGTTCCTTAGCAACTGCAATTCTGGAGGGTTTTGTTTTTTTTTTTTTTTTAACCCCTTTGAACTTCAGATTCTTGTTATATGGAAACAAGGAAATTAGTAGGTGCTTTGTGTCAGGATCCAGGAAAGGACTTGGTGAGAAGACACTGGGTAGTTTCTTTCCCAGAGCAAGGACATGGGTTGCCACCCCATCACACACAGGAGGAATCACCTCCATGGGTAACAACAGGCCGGGGAGACGGAGTCCACAGGATCATGGATCGTCACCCACAATCCCAGCAGCAGATCGTCTTTGGGAAAAATGCAGAGGGCCTCCCTCGGCCCGCAGGCAGCCTGGGGAAGCCTGGGCTCCCTGGGCCTGGGCCCGTCCTTACTCTCTGGCAATCCCTGTGGAAAAGCTGTCTGGGGGGGCTTCTCCAGAGAGGAGTGAAGCTGGTCTCAGCCTTGGCGGCTCTGCCATGGAAAGCTGGGGCCCAGGAGATCCAATCCTGCTGCTCCTGGGGTTGCTGAGGGGGTCCTCCTCCTTGCTGGGGGCAGGTGCAGTGGGGTGGGTGGTGTCCCAGGGGGCGGTGTGCTGATAGCTCAGGTGCTGATGCTTCAGGCCACCCGCACCTCTGCTTGCATTCACAGCTCACCCGTTGAGGATGGCTCCGCGCAAAACAGAAGCGGTTGTGACCTCGTGGGAAGTGACCAGGGCCTTCTTGTATCCCAGCGAATGCAGCGCTGCCTACAGCCTGGGCCAAGAGAATGACCACAGGCCCCCAGGTGAGTGCTGTACATTTATAACTTTTATGGTGATTTGCTAAGGGGCTTATGACTTCCTGGACAATTTGTCTTTCAGAATAATGAAAATATGTGAAATGAAGTCTCTTCCACAGCACAGCAATTATAATCATTGCTACTTAAAATAGCGGAGGTGATATAGTCCAAGGGTCAAGCTCAGAGAAAGGAGGTAAATTGGAACCAGAGTGTTGTGCCCTCGTTCATGGGCTGACGATGTGTGTCCCTGATGGGAAAGGTGCAGCGCGTGGTCATGGTACACCTGATTGCTTTCCCCACAGCAAACTCTCCCGGAGAGCAAGGTGGGCCCAAAAGGAACACAGCAGAGTCTGTCGGGCTCCAAGGGCCAGCCCATGCCTCCATCACGCCGAGCACCTTCCACAACCATGCTCCGTACCCATGCCATGAGAACCCTTACTCTCATCCTAGAATGGTGTTCCTGGCTGCCGTGTCTTCCAAGTGGCCACTCCAAGGGCGGCTGGAACCTAATCCCATGTATTGGCTTTTTCTCACTCTCCTCTGATGCTCTCAACCTGATCTTTCTCAGCTCAGCCTCCAGCGTGGGGAGGTCTGCCCGATTCCTTGGCCTGAGGCACCAGGTGGGCACGCCCACATTTCAGGTGACGTGGCCCCTGCAGCCCATCAGACAGGCCCAGCTGACAGACGTAGGCGGAGCAGATGTTCCTGCGTGAGCAGTGTCCTGGGAGAACTATCCCGGGGTAACTGGCCCCCCAGTGGATTCAGGCTGTGGCAGGTGCAATCGACTCCACGCTCAGCCTACACCTCCTGAGCACTCTGCCCTAAGAAAGGCTCTCCCTGGGGTTCTCTGTCTGAGTCTGGAGTGATCCCCAGAGTCACTAAGAGCCCCGGACCGTCTTGGGTCTATTGACAAAGGATTCAAATGACCTACATTTGAGCCCAAGCTGGACACTGACCTGGGGAGCCTCGAAGTGAGGAGGGATGCTTCCCACTTGTGGTCCCGTGAGATTAAACAGATGGAGCCCCTTGTGGGAATATTGCCTTTCGTGATTGGAGCGATCTCTCTTGAATGTCTGCTTTTGGCCGGGATGCTTGTAGACCCTGGGATGGAGCGGGAGTGGGCAGCGTCTCTGCTTGCATGGGGCTGATGTGGGGGGCCCGGTCAGGGTCACAGCTGCTCAGGCCAGGGGTGTGGGACACTGGCCATTTTATGGCCCAATTTGAAAATAATCCCCAAGCTGTGTTTCTGCTTTAAAACCGTTGTAATTTATGCTCTAAATCTGATTTTATCCAAATCTATATCCTTAGAGGCGCGTCCCTCACCTGAGAGGGAGAAGCAGGATGATTAAGAAATAAGACTGATCTTTTTCCCTTAAAAATGCCTCTACAAATACTTCCTGATGACTCAAGGCACAGGACTGTAGCTCCTAAGTTTTTGTAGGTAACGTGCTCCTCCTTAAAAATAAATTGAATTATAGCTAGCACTCCAGCTTACCAAAACAAATAGACCGCAAAGTTGAACTGCAGTCAGTCATTTGCAAATGAATACTATATTGGAGAGAACCCATCCGTCTCCACTTCCCTGAGACTCGCTGATAAACCATAAATCCATTAAGAGAGCCTTTCCTCTGCCATTTACAGCCGCGGATCTGCAGTGTTGGGGGGATAGCGTTCCCGAGGACATGATCCATGTGGGGTGTATCAGCAGCGGACAGCCGTCTTCAAGTTCCATTTTAATTTCCTTATGATCTCGGTAATATTTATTGTACAAACAAACAGAAACCTGTGCATATTTATGGGAAGTGACGGAGCTTTTCCTATGAGCGGCTGCATAAATCCGTGCCTGCCGAGCGGCAGGAGACAGGCTAAGTCTGGCTAGGCGGGGATCTTAGACATAATTTTCAATTAAAATGGAGTTGAGCAGAGCAGGATTACAATCATTGCTCATTTTTACACCAACTCCTGAGGCAGATAGGGGACTTAAGTTCCCATTCAAGGTCTCATCAGGCTCTTTGCTCAAAGACTCGCAGGCGCGTCCCTTTGGGGAATTTAAGGGAAGCGCATCTTTCCAGGAGCCCTTTGTTTCCAGCGACTGTTGAACACAGAAGGTGGTGTCACCAGAAGAGCTTGTGCAGTTCTCCTGCCCGGATGACGGCCCAGGTCCGCCCCACGTGGCCGTGTGGCCGCTCTTCTGCAAAGCAAGTAAGAGTCGCGGGATGGGGCCTGAGCGGAGGCTTCCCTCTGAAACTGTGCGTGAAATGAAGATGACTGGCATCTTCCATTGGGTTAGTGATCCCTGATCTCACTAATGCAAGGACAACAATTCTTCAGTCTTTCCCCGGTTTCTCTCGTGCAGCAGTGCCCAGTTGTGAAGGCAGTTTCCTGGGAGGTTTCGCTTCAGGAACGTAAGGGCACGCTCGGAGTGGGGCCCCCGTGAATATGCCTCTAGTCTCCATGGCGAGGCCTGGTAGTTAGGGTCACTCACATGGGTCTGGGTTCAGATCCCCGTTCGGCCCCCTGCAGCAGTGGTACCACTGTGGAAAAGGAGAGCAAAAGCTCTAAGACCCAATTTCTCAACGGAAAGAGGAGGTCATGTCCACCCCCACCGGTTTCTGGGATCTGGGAGGATGAAATGGCTGTCCCCAAAGTGGCTCACAAGTGGTCTAAGTGGTGGCGTTCCCTCCATCTGTGTCTCCTGTCTGTCTCCGGGCTTCAGGGACCTTTGTTTCCGACGCAGGCAGAAAGAGGGCCTGGACCCGCACTGCGGGCCAGAGCAGGTACCCTGTGGGGGTTCGGGAGTCCCAGGTGTGCAAAGGTGTGTGTGGGGGGGGAGGCCCGTGTCAGGGAGGGGCCGGGGATGAGGGCCTGGCAAGCGCACCAGGCCAGACCCTGACCCAATGTGTGTCCCCCCAAATCCACACATTGAGACATAACCGCCAAGGTGAATGTGTCAGGAAGTGGGGCCTTTGGGAGGGGATTACATGAAGAGGGTGGTGGTCCGGGATGGGGATCAGCACCCCAAGAAAAGAGACCTGGAGGGCTCTCTCGGCCTTGCCGCCTGGGAGGGCACAGGAAGGGATGGTCAGGCAGAGGGTTCTTACCAGACACCGAGTCTCCCGGGGCCTTGCTCTTGGGCTTCCAGCCTCCATAATGGTGAGAAATCCACATGTGTGGTTTGTGCTCATCTAGTCCCTGCTGGTTTTCTCACAACAGCCTGAGGCACCGAGGTAGCCAGGGGTTTTCTTAACCCCTCTGAGCCTCCCGGGGGGATGCAGGCTCTGCTGGCCTGTGGCACCTGGGATACGGTCTTTCTGTTCTCCCCCCTGGCATCCCTGTGACCCTACAGTCTAAAAGCTGGGAGGTTGGGAGGGTCCTGAAGGAGAGGTCTGAGTGGCCTTTGAAGGGCACACAGTAGGCACTTAATAAAGATCCTCCACGGGCCTCTAAGTGCTATTGGTGGCCAGACCTTAGGACGCAGTCACTGGCGTGAGCCGACGTCCTACAACCAGGACGAAGCCAAGATGCACAGAAGGGGTGCCTTTGAGGAAACAGAGCAGATGGGGCCTCAGAAGGACCCAGAAGTTTGCTGCAAACAAGGCAGGTGTGGACAGCAGGTGGACAGCAGTCCTGCGATCCACAGGGGCTGTCTGCAGAAAGAGTGGCCTTCTGGGACCAGGACAGCTCTGGGTCAGCTTGCTCAACTTGGGCAGTCAGACACCTCCTAGCACGCTGCAGAGCCATGGGCTACAGTAAACCCAGAAATAGTTCCTGCCCTGGGATTCTAATCAACAGGAGAGGGGTCAGGCTCCCCGGACAGCCAGGCATCCTGTGCAGAGTACTTTACTCAGCGGTCAGTTCTTACAGGGGCTCCATGAAATGCACTCACTCCCATTCTGCAGGGAGAACGTTTGCATATGCACCCACTGGAAGACTATAGGGCCGTTCTTAGGATTCTAAAGGTTATCCAAAGTCAGACCCCAGGGGCAAAGGGGAAGAGGGGTGTCTGCAGTGCCCTGAGCTATTGGCAGAGCCAGGATGAGGAGGTGTGGGGGGCAGAGAGCCCATTTTCACGAGTGAAGGAGGGTTTATGTGATAACAAATTGCACACTAATAGGAATGGCTTCTGGGATGAAGTGAGGACCAGAGTCCTGCTTCAGCCATGGGCACAGGGTTGGGGCAGTGGGCTCACATGATCAGGGTTGTGGCCTCGGATGGGTAGCCCAAGCTGGGGGCTTATTTTCATTCGCGTATTGTCACAGAGAGTTCCCTTTTACTCTCCACAAGCTCTTCTCCCAGAGGTGCACTGAGTTGGCCTGTGAACTCCTCCATTACAGCTGCCCTGGGGAAAACCTAAGAAATTTAAAAAGCAGCAGACCTAGGATACTTCCCCAAAGCTCTCCTTGGCTCAGTGTCTTCGGTGTGAGTAGTGCAGCTGGTACCAAGAATGCCTTGGGTCGCTAGTGTCCTGCCAGGCCCTCCGCCATTAAGACACTCCTGTGAGGCTCATGCTGATCCACGTGATAGGGAATTGTCCCTGGAGCCTGTTCACTTGGGCTCGGGCGGTAGCGGAAGACGGCAGGGAGCTGATGCTTTCCTAGAAGCATGGAAATGGCCCTCAGGACAGCTGTCCCATCTGCTCGAAGGGAGAGAGACTCCCTAGCTGACCACAGGAGCAATTGGGGCATGAGCATCCCTACTCAGAAGGTCTTCCTGGGCCACCCATTCTGGAACAGGGTGAGCAAGAGGCCCATGCTTCTCATTCCCTCCCCCCAAAGATCATCCTGGGTTCTTAGAAATGCAGGGCTGGGAATGATGTCCTCTGGGTCATCCCAGGTAGAGTAGGTGACCTGCCTGAGCCCACAGAGGCTTCATCTCAGGGCTTGGAGTAGAGCCTACTTTGCCTCCTAATCCTACAACCTTGCCATGTTCCCAACATGTTTTTCTAGGGATGTTTTATTGTTGAGGTGACTCACACAGGAGCTGTGCACGTGGGGGAAACACTGCATTGTGTACAGATGCTCGCCATCCGCATCTGAGCATCTCTGGGGAGCAGCATGTCCCCTTGGGCAGCTCCTGTCTCTCCATGGGGGTTCAAGGAGAAGTTGCTCACCCAATACCTCCAGTTCTGCACCCCAGGAATATACCTCAGGACCCACTTCCTGGGCCTGAGCCCCATCTGTCAACACTGGTCCCTGAACTGTGTTCAGGGCTCCCGGTGGAAAGCCTGGAGGAAGTCAGAAGCCTTTGCACAGTGCAAGACTGTTGAGCTGAGGGAAAAGCATAAGAATTACTCAACTCTGAAAACATCACAATGAGACTGGGGAGATTCACTGCATCCTAGAAAACTGAATTAAAAAATATCAAATTTTAACTATAGAAAAGGAAAAAACTCGTTGAATAAATGGTACAAGGCAGTACTCTTAATACACAGCACACCTAATTCAACACCCCATGAGCTCTCTGGGAGCGAAGGAGGGGCAGCGTTGCACATGCCAAGTGCACGCACACCACAACCTTATTTAAACAGCATTCGTCTGGAGGAACAAAGTTGCTGTATTCAGAGGTCATTAATTTAGTAACTAGGAACAGAAACCACAAGCTCCTAGCAATCAAGGGTGTCTGTGCCTTAGGAGAAAATTTTGTGTTCTTATAGAAATGTGTCAAGGAAAAATGGGAAGATATGAGGGCAATTTCCTTTACAGTTATAACTAGAAAATATCTTTAAACTCTTGCAATCATATATATACCCTGAGCATAATGCTCTTTCTGCATGACTGCCTTATCTTGACTTCCTATGATAGGAAAAAGAAAAACTGGTTACAAGGGAATTTCTGTTGATTTGTCTTTTTGAAACTACTGACTGTCATCTTTCCTGCACTGAACCTAATGCGTCCCTGTGGGGCAGGAGAGACACTTACAAGGAAAGGGCGGGTGAGGGTGATGACCGGAAAGAGAGTGCCATCCATTTAGGATGGAAGAGCCTGTCAGCGCTCCCATTAGCTTGCCTGTTTCCCCACACTTAGTACCTGGAATAATACATTTGTCTTGGGCAGGCCTTGCAGTCCCTTTCTCAGAGCATGGGCTCCTGGGCAAAATCCGGTGAGCGAGCCATTCTCACGGCTGTCTTGTGGCCTTGACACATCCATCCAGTGAGACGGTGACATGCATCCTTGTTTTCAGGTGATGGTGAGCCTCACACAGTCAACTTGCAGACAGCAGCACCGGACACACAGTCAGGGCAGTGGACCGCGTGAGGAAGCTCTGTCAGCCTCAGCCTGGTCTGCCCACCTGGGCAATGGGCATATTTGCTTCCCTGGCAAACACGTGCAACCTTGACAAAGCACTGAGGAGGAGAGATGGAACTGCGCACGCCCTCCGCACTCGGGTTGAGTTCCTCGGATACCATCCTCTTGTTTGACAACAGGCTTTTAATGAAATAAAGTATACAATGCTTTGCAAGTTGGATTAAAATATTGAGCTTCCATTGCTGTCTGCAAGGCATTATTTGATTAGCGTGATAAAACACAGTACTACTTTAGAGCTGTCAACACACATATTTCTGGGGAAGTAATTACACGGTACCCAAGGATGTAGCTTAGCGCTTAACGCAACTGTTTTTCTAGGTCATGATGAAGACTGTAACATCGATTTGCTGCTCTCCCCATTCATGATGCCAAACAGCATTAAAAAAGAAGTTTGAAAAGTGTTTTAAAAGCATGAATTTTTAAAGAGAGAATAGTACTTTTCAGATGAAAATATAATTGGCCTCTGTTTGACCAGTATAGTATGACACCTAGTAGCTGTGCTTAAAACCATTTGAAGAAAAATTGAAGTGATCTTCCCATGATATGCTTTGTTCCATTATTTTTTTTTTTTTTGGTGTTTAGACCATTTAGCCAACCTCGAATTTCCCTGCTCCAGGGAGGAAAGAAAATCAAAGTTATGCCCGATTATCTGATGCCACCACTTTTTTTCTCAAGTGATGTCTGTGAAAACAGTCTGGGTTATAGGGTAGGCAAAATCTAGACCCCCACTTTGCTTTGCCACTGACTAGCTCTGTGTATATGGACAAATTACGCCTCTTTCCATGGTTCAGTTTTCCAACGTGTCAAGTTGCAATATTGTGGCATCACTTTGTGAGATGGCTGTGAGACTTGAGTGAATACATGTGAAACACTTAGCACAGGAACAACACTCTAAAGAAGCATGAGGAATTACTGACAGCATTATGAACTTTTTCAGCCGGTCTGATTGAGCATCTGCTGTGCTGGGCACTGTTGTAGGTGTTAGGGATGCTGTATCCAAGAAGACCACATGGTAGCTGCCCTTGAAGATCTTATGTTCCTCTAAAGATAGGGAAGAAAACAGGAAAAATAAGTAAGGTATTTCTGATGGGAACAAAACTCTAAGGAGAAGGAGAGAGATGGATGTGGAGGATATTGATGGGCAATGGGTACCCACGGATGAGCAGTCAAGGAAACCTCATAAAGAGGGGACTTTTAAACCAAGACATGAATGATGAGATGGGGCAATGTGACTGAAGGACATTTTGAATAGGAACTCTCAGACCCGAAGGAATTGGGGGTGGGAATGAGTTTGACTTGTTTTGGGAAAGGAGAGAAGGCTTAAACTTGGTGTTGCTGCTGTATGAAAGGAGGGGACAAGAGAAGGCAGGCTGAGAGACCAGGGAGGAAGGCGGCAGGCCTAGTGGTAGAAGAGAGGACAGAGATTCAGGATTTACTGCGGGCCGGGCAGAACCCGCGTGCGCCGCTGATGGGCTTAGATGTGGAGCTGAGGGAACCCAGTATGACCCCTGGCTTGGAGTTTAAGCCCTGGGGGGAGGGGTAGCATGCACTGAGACTGGGGGGGGGCACCTGCTGTTATTGTCTCTTTTCACTTCCTCTGCTTCATCCAGATACATGTAGCGTCAGCAGGGTGACGACGGCCAAAACTTTCTTGTATTACGTTCAGAAGAAATTAGAGGCACTGAGGACCGACAGCATTTTTGGAACTGTGCTGTGAAGGGAGGGAGGGAGACGGGACAGTAGCTGCAGGAGAGTGGAGAGAAGTTTACTGTTTAGGACTACAGAAGTAGCAGCCTGTTGCTGTGCCGCCTGGAAGACCCAGGGCTGAGGGGAAGTCTGGTCAATGCTGAGAGGAGAGAGGCAAGAATTGGATTATCAGTGTCCTGCACTGGGGCGGGTGGGGCCTCCATGCATCAGAGAAGGACCTGGGCTTTGCAACTGGAGGGTAGGTAAGGTACGTGGGCACAGATTCAGATGGAGGGTAGATGTGGTGGGAGGCAGTGGAAATTCAATTCTGATTGTTTCTACTTTCTTGGTGCGGTAGGAGGCAAGGTCAGCTGGATGTACATACAACAAAGGAGGTGTTGGATATTTCAGGAGGCAAAATGAGTTTTGAGGGAGGCATAGAGTATGCAGGAGAATAATATGCCATGAAAAAAAAAAACACTGAGGATTTCTGGACAGCATCAGGGTGCTTTTGATGGCAGTGAGCTTGAAGTCGGAGCCGGTTAGTGTGGACCCATGTTTTGGACTGTTACACTCAATGATGCTGGCAGTTGGCATCGAGCAGACAGAGAACTGAACTTACCCTGGTTGTAATTTAGCCAAATAGTCCAGCAAAGGTAGGAGGGACGAGGGAGCTGGGTGTATGCCCCACAGTGACTGTTAAACTTAACCAAGGGCTTTCCTTTAAATAGGAGGCACAGTGTGGACACTCGGATGGGAGATAGCAATGCCGTGGTAACATCAGTGGGCTGAAGATGGCAGTGAGGCAGGGGATTGTTGGAACTGGGGGAATGCAGGGATGAGCTAAAGAGATGGGTCAGATTGATGCTTGAACTTGAAATTACCGAGAGGCTGCAGTGATTGGCGGTGACATGTGCCAGGGGTGCCAGCAAGAGCGTGAAGGCATGCAGGGTCACTGGAGCAGGGGAGGTCCATGCAAAGAAGATGCAGGAAGTTCAGAGTCTGGTGGGAATACTAGAAAAAATGTAAATCAGCCTATACTGGCAGGGTTATCTCAGAACCCATGGACCCCCGCAATGAGGAAACGGGTGCCCCTTCACTGAAAAGTGAGAGCAACAGGGCTCTGGGGTTTCCTCATTAAATGGTGCATCCACACCCATCCCATCCAGCTCCACTGTCTACATCTAGCAGTCCTGGATAATTTCCTCAAACTTGCCACATGCTTCCACATCCTTCTGGAACTTTCCTCCGCGCCTATGTGTGAATGCAGCCAGCCCAGCCCCATTCTCTTCCCGTGAGTGAGGTCATTGTCATGCTGTGAGCTTCTGGGGAATCTAGGACATCAAATTCTTGGGGTAGCTGAGGCATGCTTTCTGGGCTTTGTCCTGATGCTGGCTCCTGTTCACCTATAGCTGATTCTGCCAGCCTTGTTGTTCCTGCTTGGCCAAAACCCCCCAATGGCCTTTCTTCCCCCGTGACAGGACCCAGCACATCAGGGCTTAGCTCATTTCCTAATCACTGCACATCCCAGTATATCTCAGATAACACTGTGCAGCAAATGCCTTGCATCCCTGGAATGCATGCCACTGTCCATAATTCCGTGGCTCTTTTTACCCACTGAAGCTGAGGTGGGTCTTTGGTGGCTTAACTGGAACCACGTGGTATGTTAGTGTCTGACCTGAGACTAGAAATTTATTCTCCCAAATGTGCACCCTAAACCTTGTATCCTCAACAGGTAGAAAATTGAACATCCAGTCACTTAAATGATGATGGTAAGTATGAATCCTGACACCAAGCAGCATTTTTCTAGGACTTTTTTTATGAACACTTGGGATGTCTGTGAGTGGCATTATGGGTCTCAGCATTTCACGCTTAGAACAAAAAATGACAAAGGTAAAATTTGTGCTAATGGATTATTATATTCCACTTACATATCTTTTTCTAATTATTTTATTCATAAAAAATCATTGCTCCAAATAATGACACGAGATTCCTTTCTGGGCAGGCTTGAGCAATTTGCCAAGCCATCTGGGCAATTGATTTAATTAGCACCACAACTCCGACGTTAATGAGGCCAGGGTGGATGGGAGCTCCTCCACCATACTCACTGAATTACCTCCGTGATCCAGCTGTGTTTGCAGGATGAGGGTTTCTAGTAGGAGCCAGAGGCTCTGTGGAGGCTGGTGTATCAGTTATACAATGGGAGCATTCATTGCACTGCATGTGGGTGCCCAGAGCAGTCATGAGAGGAGAAGAATGTGGGAGGACTGTGGATATGCCCCCCACTTCAGGATTCGGGATTATGACCTCAGGTCAGATGTGCCCTCAGGAGGCAGCAGTATCTGATGGGAAAGGCCCAGTTTTTGAGTTGGACAGATGTAGGTTCAAAGGTTAGCAAATAGGAAGTGGAAGGAGAATCATAATATTGTGTAAAAACAGCAGGGAGTACAGGGGTCTGCTTCTAAAAGACCTATCTCCGATCTAATAGGGAAGGATGTTTCAGAACCATGGACAGCGACCTCACCCTTCTGGTCCCTTAAAGTCTTAGCACGCTGCTTTGGGGGGCGAAGGGGACCTGGGACTCACCAAACATTTGTAGGATGGGTGAATGAATGTGTGAATGAATTAGATACGCTGCGCCACATCTGTATCCAACAAATCATAACCCGAGGAGAAGCAGTGCCTAAAATTTGCCTTTTATGATTAGGAACACCCATAGGAAATGGGTTTATTTATTCATTCAGATGCTCAATGTCCCAAGAAATATGTACTGAGTATCTAGTATGTTAAAGCTCCATTCTATATGCTGAAAACGCAGAAGAAACAAGAGACCAAGTCTCTGCTCTCATATGGTTTACATGTTTAGTGAATGAGACTGATGATATAAATTGATGAAGTGGTAACTATATGACAGGCACCACAAACTGTTTAAAGGAAAAATAAGGCAAAGGCAGGCAGATATAGGAGGGAGCAGTATTTTAAGTAGGGTGTATCAGGCAGGGCCCCAACAGGGTAGATAGGCAGCCTCAGAGGTCTTAACTAAAGACAGCTAGTGAAGGGATTATTTGCAGAACTATGTGAAGGGTTAAGGGAGCCCAGCAGCAATGACAGAGCTCTTGAGGCTGGAAACAGCATTGAGATATTTACATCTTTAGGGCCAAGGAGGTAAGAGAAAAGAGCAGTGTTTCCAGGAACCGGTGAGAGCTGTAGCCATGGAAGAAAGTTTGCCCAGTGGTGGCAATAGCCACACATCCATTGCAAAAGCCCAAGAGAGGGAACAAGGACCACGGCTATGGAGCTCTGACCTGGCTCTCCTCCCTCTTCGTTTCATGCTAGTGATCCATTGGTTGAACCCAGCCAGAAGCCAAGTCTTTTGCCTTAAACTGATTGGAAGACTAGAGTCCCTATTTATCAAGTTGGGGAATGTCGCAGGAGAGCTATGAGGACAAATCAAATA